TTTATAAAAATATAAGTGCAACAAACACCTAAACACTGTATAATCCCACTATCCAATGAACTTATTCCCAAATTACCATTCCCTTCCCAATTTAAAACCAAAAAAAATACTCCACAATCCCTTTCCTCCTCCAGCAATTATTTTTGGTTCCTCCAACCAATTTTCCCTAAAAAAATATGTCGACCTCCGACTCCCGATACCAACCCGCCCCACCCGTCCCAATATATCATTGAGCCATCCTCGAGTCTCCACCGTCACCGACCTCCTCCTCTGCAGTCATCGTGGAAACCGCACACCTCCTGTGTCCCGCCCAGATCCCTCGCCGTGAGTCATGCTGTTCACAAATGTTGCATCGAGCCCTGGCTCCTCCGCCGCAATTCCTGCCCCCGATGCCGCTCCCCACTCCCTTGATTTCACCGAAGGGGCGGCAATAGAGGGAGGACGCCGAGGCGGCGAGGGCGGTTGAGGTGGGCTGAGTGCTTTCGGGGATCTCGTCGAGGGCTGCAGAGACGGTGCTCTCGGCTCAGGTCATTTTGGCTGCGGTCAGAGCGATGGCGATTGAAGAGAGCGGGAGATAGGGAGGTAATGATTTATTTATCCGATTTTTTTTTAAAAAATTAGTTAAAGCATTGAATTGTTGCATGATCGTCGTTTATGGAATCGAGATGGGTAAAAATTGTTTCTTTCTGAATAGATGTGTAATTAGGACGCAATTGGATGTTTTATGTTGGGGAAACAAAGGGAGATTTGGTTTCGAGATGGTTCAAAATTGTTTCTTTTTGTATAAATATTCGGTTGTGATGCAATTGCATGGGTTGCTGATTGTATCCATTTAATTTTGTTACAGTGGCAGGGCTTTTTGACGAATTTGTTGATTAGAAGGGGCGATATTGATTTCATCCTTTCTATATCACAAAGCTGTTACAGATTACATTATTGTGATACAAAGAAAATTGTTGCTTTTAGGATCACTGTAGAGTTCAGCCAACAATAAGGATGCCATTGGATGTTTAAATTGGAAAGAAACATAATTTTCGTGTTTCACATGTTTGTAGTTTCAAAATTAGAGCAGAAGATAAAAAGGTTTTTTGATAAATTGTTAAATTTAAGAGGTATGATTGTTTATATCCTTTTCATACACATGATTCTTATATGATGTTTAGGTACGAGGAGGAGGTTGAGAAGGCAATGAGGCAGATGTCTGGGCTGGAATGATGCAGATTTACTCAAGCCCGTCCGATCAGAATCTTCACAGTTCTTGGGGCTCTGCTGTTGATAATGATGATGAGAAGGAGAACAAAAGATGGTTAAATGGGAGTGTTGTTATGTTTCTTAGTTATTCAAGGTTAAATGGGAAAATGAGGGAACATATATGTATCACAGTTAACCGTAAATGTGATAAATAAGCATATCATGTGATATTTCAATGTTATATGTGACTATTCAATCTTACATCTGATAGTTCTACCTTATATGTGATATTTAGATATGATTTGTGATATTTGGTTGTTGTATGTGATTTTTGGGTGTTGCTTGTGATATTTGTTATTTATACGTGATATTTGGGTGTTGTATGTGATATTTGGGTGTTGCTTATGATATTTGGGTGTTGTATGTGATATTTGGGTGTTGCTTGTGACAATTGTTGTTTATACGTGACATTTAGGTATTGTATGTGATATTTGGGTGTTGTATGTGATATTTGGGTTGTAACGCCTTGATCCGAAGAAGTTAAAATTGAACGCATGCTAGGGTCATAACAACTTCGGATAAAATTAAACATAGACCAGGGTCATAACGGCTTCTCGGATCAATTTTAATGGCTTCGGATCAGGGTCTTGCTACGGCTTCGATCTCATCTTCAAGAACCACTCGATGTCGGTGACCTCCTCGTCGGGGTCGTCGGATCCGACATCGGCGGGGCCGATGATGAGGGAGTTGAATTACAGGGGATTTTCTAAATTTGTAAATGTTAACGATAACAATGGGGCGACACATTGCATCTAGCGGCGAGGCAAAGATGATTTTTGTTTTTTTAATTTGTTTGCTTTAAATTTGAGTTTTGAGTTCATTGTTTGTAATGCACATTGCTATAGATTGGTTCTACGAAGGAAATGGGATGATGGGTTGAGATTATAACTTAGTTATTCAAGGTTAAATGAGATATTTGGTAACTTTCAAGCAACACCCAAATATCACATACAACAAATGTATGTAAATATTTGGGTGTTTATACGTGACTTTTGGGTGTTATATGCGATATTTGGGTATTACTTGTGACATTTGTTGTTTATACGTGACATTTGGGTGTTGTATGTGATATTTGGGTGTTGTATGTGATATTTAAGTGTTACTTGTGACATTTGTTATTTATACGTGACATTTGGGTGTTGTATGTGATATTTGGGTATTGCTTGTGGCATTTGTTATTTATACGTGACATTTGGGTGTTGTATGTGATATTTGGGTGTTGCTTGTGATATTTGTTGTTTATATGTGACATTTGAGTATTGTATGTGATATTTGGGTGTTGCTTACATTAGAAAGACTCAAATGAAACTTACCAAACATCCCATTTAACCTTGAATAACTAAGTTACAATCTCAACCCATCATCCCATTTCCTTCGTAGAACCATTCTATAGCAATGTGCAGTACAAACAATGAACTCAAAACTCAAATTTAAAGCAAACAAATTAAAAAAAACAAAAATCATCTTTGCATCGTCGCTAGATGCAATGTGTCGCCCCATTGTTATCGTTAACATTTACAAATCTAGAAAATCCCCTGTAATTCAACTCCCTCATCATCGGCTCTGCCGACGTCGGATCCGACGACCCCGACGAGGAGGTCATCGACACCGAGTGGTTCTTGAAGATGAGATCGAAGCCGTAACAGGACCCTGATCCGAAGCCGTTAAAATTGATCCGAGAAGCCGTTATGACCCTGGTCTATGTTTAATTTTATCCAAAGCCGTTATAACCCTAGCCTGCGTTCAATTTTAACTTCTTCAGATCAAGCCGTTACAACCCAAATATCACATACAACACCCAAATATCACATACAACACCCAAATGTCACGTATAAACAACAAATGTCACAAGCAACACCCAAATATCACATACAACACCCAAATATCACGTATAAACAACAAATGTCACAAGCAGCACCCAAATATCACATACAACACCCAAATATCACATACAACACCCAAATATCACGTATAAATAACAAATGTCACAAGCAACACTCAAATATCACATACAACACCCAAATATCACAAATCATATCTAAATATCACATATAAGGTAGAACTGTCACATGTAAGATTGACTTGTCACATATAACATTGAAATATCACATGATATGTTTATTTGTCACATTTACGGTTAACTGTGATACATATATGTTCCCTCATTTCCCCATTTAACCTTGAATAACTAAAAACATAACAACATTCCCATTTAACCATCTTTTGTTCTCCTTCTCATCATCATTATCAACAGCAGAGCCCCAAGAACTATGAAGATTCTGATCGGACGGGCTTGAGTGAATCTGCATTATTCCAGCCCACACATCTGCCTCATTGCCTTCTCAATCTCCTCCTCGTACCTAAACATCATATAAGAATCATGTGTATGAAAAGGATATAAACAATCATACCTCTTAAATTTAACAATTCATCCATAAGGACTCTTTATCTTCTGCTCTAATTTTGAAACTACAAACATGTGAAACGCGAAAATTATGTTTCTTTCCAATTTCAACATCCAATGGCATCCTTATTATTGGCTGAACTCTACAGTGATCCTAAAAGCAACAATTTTTTTTATCACAATCATGGAATCTGCAATAACTTTGTGATATAGAAAGGATGAAATAAATATTGCCCCTTCTAATCAATAAATTCCTCAAAAAGCCCTGTCACTGTAACAAAATTAAATGGATACAATTAGCAACCCATGCAATTGCATCACAACCGAATATTTCTACAAAAAGAAACAATTTTAAACCATCTCGAAACCAAATATCCCTTTGTTTCCCCAACATAAAACATCCATTTGCATCCTAATTACACATCTATTCAGAAAGAAACAATTTTTACCCATCTCGATTCCATAAACGACGATCATGCAACAATTCAATGCTTTAACTAATTTTTTTTTTAAAAAACCGAATAAAAAATCATTACCTCCCTATCTCCCGCTCTCTTCAATCGTCATCGCTCTAACCACCGCCAAAATGACCTGAGCCGAGAGCATCGTCTCTGCGGCCCTCGACGAGATCCCCGAAAGGACCCGACCCACCTCAACCACCCTCGCCGCCTCGGTGTCCTCCCCCTGCTGCCGTCGCCTCCGGTGAAATCAAGGGAGTGGGGAGCGGTAGAGGGGGCAGGAGTTGCGGCGGAGGAGCTAGGGCTCGATACAGCATGTGTGGAACACGTGACCGCAAGGGAGGGATTTGGCGGGGGACACGAGGGGGAGGGCGTCGGTGCAGACGACGCAGAGGAGGGAGGGGTCGGCGACAGTGGCGACTGAGAGGGTGTCGATAATTGATTGGGGGACCGGCGACGGGTCGGGTTCGGTATCGGAGTCGGAGGTCGACATTATTTTTTAGGGAAAATTGGTTGGAGGAACCAAAAATAATTGCTAAAGGAGGAAAGGGATTGTGGAGTATTTTTTGTTGGTTTTAAATTGGGAAGGGAAGGGTAATTTGGGAATGAGTTCATTGGATAGTGGGATTATACAGTGTTTAGGGGTTTGTTGCACTTATATTTTTATAAAAGGGCTTTTTGGTTATGCTTTTTGGGCTTGGGGTGGGGATGAATAACCCAATTTAATTTAGTTCCCCCGAGTAATTTTCCCAAAAAAAAACACCATCAACAGTTACCGCCACCGTTTCCCGCTCTGGCCCACCTCAATCATTACTGCAGACACCTGAAGCACGTGTCAAATTACGTCCAAGTCCAAATTGAACTAACAATTAATTAACCGGTGCGCCGAGCCCTCAAACGTAAAAACTCAAGAGAGAGAAAGAGACTAGAGAGTGAGAGAGATGGCAAGCGTCGGTTCTCGCCAAAACCCCTCACCACAAGATTCGATCCCAGGTGAAGGTGAGGGGTCGCAAATGTTAGATCTTGGGAGCTCTCTGAGGTTAATTTGGTTTCAGATTTTTTTTTTGAAATTTTTTGATGCACTTTAAGTTTTTGATGCTTAAATCTGAGCTTGGAGTGTGAAACTGGGAGTAGAGCAGAAATTCTCCGTCAATTTCTTTGTAATTTGGGGAAATTGTTTGGTTGATCGTCTGTTGTCGGCATTTCGCCTAATTTTTATATGAATCGTCAAAATTAGATCTAAATCTTTTTCTTTTGGTATTTTTGTGAAAGATTCACTATTGTGGTTTTAATTAGCGATGCCCTCATCGGTCTGGAAAGTAAATTCTGTCCATTTAGATCTTTAGGAGTACAAGAACCACAATTTGTTTGTTTAGAGGGGAAATAATTAGCTTTTATTATCAATTTCGTAATGGAGTTTGTGTAAAGTTCAAGAGTTGATGGGCGATTTAGCAAATAAATTGCTAGGGCAGCAATGGAAATCTAGTTTCTGTACCAGGAACTCCTTCACTTCATCGCGTCAGTAAAATCTGTAAACAAACCGGATCTGATTATGATTCTTATAATGTTATTGACTATGAAGCGTGGATTGAATTGTTCATGATTGAATTATTGCCCTGGTAAATTGTAATTGGGGGTTTTCTTATACAACCACAAAATCTACTCTATTTGTATATTTACCTCAAATATGCATGTTTGCTGTGGAGCTCCCTGTAAATAGTTTTACGTCATTAGTTTATTTCTTGACCAAGTTTCACCTGTTTGTTTCTAACAAGGACAACATGTATGTTGATAGCTGTAGACCTGTGCTATTAGCTATTCACTACTTAATCTGCCCTACCAGGGTACAGATGACAATTGAAAGTCGGATCCTGAACAATTTTCTCTTGCTTGGTAGGTCATAATCATCTAAAGTTCAATTAGCAACATCATGGGTATTTCTTCAAAGTGGCTCAAATCATTGGTTGGAATTAAAAAGCAAGAGAAATCACGGAATTCTAATGACGACGCAAATGTGAGTGGAATTCTTGTTCTTCTTGTTGCAGAATGATTCAGAATTTTCTTATGCCCGGTCTATTTGCTTAATGCAACTCCATCTTCTTTGTGTTTGAGCATTGGTTGGAAACACTGAATGATCACATAGTTCTGATAAGCCTTCTTGTTTCATTATGTTGATGTCAAAACCAATTGAGTCTCCAGCAGAAAGTATCCCACGTCATGACTTGGGCCATAATATAGAGGAAGTAGCAGATCTCTGTAACTCAAGCTTGACTAGTCCTTGAAACAATGCAGCTAGGATTATGTAGTTTGAAAGAATACACATGCCCAAGAAAAGTGAGTTGTCATTTGTTAATGGGAGAAAAGATTATACTAGGATTGTTGATAACTATTGGCATATTATCATAGAAAGAAATCTAGTTCTGATTTTGATAAAAGGAATTCAAGATTGAAAGTCTGAACCTAGCACCAAGGTTGAGAAAAGGATATATTCGGATAGACCAAAACTGTGGGCAATATCTTAAAAAGGAAGTAACTCAAATTTTGGAAAAAAGTCTTTTAAGAATGAAAGTTTACTACCAACCTACTATTCAGTGATTTCTAAAAGAATATCTAGAATGTAATTGGAATTAGAGGAAGCCAAAGGACCCAAAACAAAGTTAAACTACCATACAGTACTTATTTGGTTAATTTAAGTTAAACACTGCCAACATGCTTGGTGCACTGTAAAAGATTAAATGCCTCACATTTGTCATAACATGTCAATTTATAGCAAGTTCAAAACTAAGATGTTTTGCAATTCTATTCTCATGAATGAATAAATAGTCTAGGTAGTTTGGAGATAGCTTGAAGAATGTGCTTATGAATGTCAGTCAAATATGATATACATATTGATACAGTCTTACAGAAAAGAAAGCCCTTGGCATACCAAGTGAGGGAATCTTACAGTCTCACCCTGTGTAACCTAATTCACTCCAAATGCCTTGAAATGCGATCCAGTTTGTGCAGATTGCCAAAATTGATGATTCAAACAAAAGAAGGGAATGATGATTAATTCTTCAATAACCATTGAGCTCTTTTGATTTAGTTGCACTATTTGTAGCTTCTCCTTGTTTGGCTTAATTTTTCTTTCCGAGACATAGTCATTTAGTACATCTTCAAAGTTTGGATTTCAAACTTTGGTTATGTGAGACAATTTGAATCATAATCACATTCTTTTAACTAAAGTAGTTTGCTTCTTTGTCTTTGGTAGTATGTTATCATTTTTAGTTATTACACATCCAAATGTATAATTTCTCTCTCCACATGTACACAAATACTGCATTCATCTGACTATAGCAATGATCCCAGACTTACTATACCCCAAATACCTATTTAATTAAGTCTATCCTGTCTTTTACCTCGTACTGTTCGGAGTAGCGTATCTTATATCTACTCGTACTTCTGACTGATAACATACATAATTCTGGTAACACTGGTCTCTCCTCTCATCAACCTATAGACGTTCTTTCTTTCCTGCTTATCTGTAGCCTACTTCATAACATTAGTGACAGTTTATGCAACGAGCCTTTCTTCAAACTTAAGCGAAATTGAATAAACATCTATACCCATCCTAATCTAAATTGGAAAATAGGATACACCATTAAAATATTTGCAATCCAGATCACATTGATACTTCACAATGTGCAAATATGGTACAATATGCATATGCAGATATGGAAAACCCCAAAATGTGGCACCGATACTTCTAGGATAGAACAATGATACATATCTTGTTGCGAATTAATTTGTTAGCTGTAACATAGATTTCTAAAGCTACAATGCTTAAAGAAACAAGAATTCAAGTGATACAAAAGATTTCATATTATGTAATAATTCTTTCAAGAGATATTAAAGCAATCAGAATTCTAAGTTAAAAATGTGGATAAAAATGTAAATACATCTACTAGTCAAATGAAAAAAGGAAACTATATTATTTCATTTACTTAAGTCTTGGATATGTTTTTATGCCTTGTTTATATTTGGAACACATTATAATATTCAGCAGTTCAAACATATGATATGAATAGTCATCAAGTATCCAAGAGTAGATACATATTAAATACAATTACCTCCCAATACCAGGTTATCTGTGCAACATGGGTTACGCTCCTTGTGCAACATGGGTTGCACTCCTTTAGTTTACATGAGTATGGTCTTCAGGATAGTGCTTATCTCATCCTTAAAGAGTAGTTAAAGGCTAAATGCAAGTCATCATCACAATATATGTAATCTTTCTGGAATACAAACATCCATTTATTTAGTATTCACCATTATTGTGGTTATTATTATTCTTTTAAATTCACGCAAACTTTTGAAATACTATTATCTTACGCTCACAAAAAAAAAAAAAAACAGATACATCCATTGTTTTCTTCCAAGCTTGATGTGGTTTGCACATTTGTCACGGCATATATATATATATAAGTGTAGGATATGTTTCTTATGCCTTTTATATGTTTGGAACGCATTATAATATTAAAAGATTCAAACATATGATATGAATATCCACAAAGTATGCAAGATTAGATACGTATCAAATACAAGTACCTCCAAATACCAGGTTATCCGTGCAGCATGGTTTGCACTCCTTTAGTATACATGAGATTTGTCTCTAGGATAGTGCTTATATCACCCTTACAAAGTAGTTAACAGCCTCACAATATGTGTAAGTTTTCTGGAAGATAAACATTCACTTATTTAATTTTCACCATCCTTGTGATTATTATTATTATTTTAAATTCACCCAATCTTTTGAAATACTATTATCTTATGCTCACGAAAAAAATTAACAGAAACCTCCACTGTTTTCTCCCAAGCTTGATGTTGTTTGCACATTATTCATGGCACATTTAGTTTTCATGTCAAACTGCTACTAGTACACAATCCATTCATAGAGATTATTGGTTACATCAGTACACCATGGTCAACCCTCTTCCCTTATCTTAAATGACTTTTAAGGGGGAGTTTTTCCTTTAAACCCTGAAGTTTTACCATGATTTATTAAAAAAAACCCTTGTGGATCCGTTTGTAACTATTAACCCAGGAAACTTTTGATATTTATCTTTAAGCCCAAAAAGTGCAAATACAACATATACTTCAACTTACTCTCTTAAATCTTTTTTTTTCTTCCAAAACTAGCCTTCTTTCTTCTATCTGTAACCATGAGAAAAAAAACTATGGGGGCTCTCCTCTCTCCTCTCTCCTCTGCCCCCTCTTCTTCAGCCTCCACCGCCTCTGCCTCCCGACCACCACCACCCCCTCTTTGATCTCCTCCTACTTTCACCTCCTCTATGACAAGAGAAATTTAAAATCCCAAATCCCGCCTCAAATTCTTCCACCAGTGTTGGGCTCTTGTTCACAGAGGTTCGCATCAAGGTCAGCTAGGGCTTGGAGAGGAGGATTTTGCCTTGAAATTGACGGCAGAGGTTAGCTTGGATCTCCTTCACAGATGTACGAATCAACCTCTGCTAGGACTTAGCAGCAGCCTGGGGATCTATGCGGTGGTCAGAGGAACTCTGCAGCATCGAAACAGGTGTCAGAGATCTGCTATGGCTTGGCGGAACTCATAGAAATGGATGACGTGGGTTAGATATAGATGGAGATCTGTATTGAAGAGGGGTTATAAGTAGGGGAAGGGTAGTATATGAAGTTTTTTTCCTCAAATACCATATCCAGATTGAGAATTTGATAGAATGGGTTTTAAGGCAAATTCTGAAAGTACTTTTGGTCTATAGATGTTAATAAACGTACTTGGGTTTAAAAATAAATGGGGTAATACTTTGAGTTAAAGGCAAAACCCCCTTTTTAAGAACAGTAGTTTTTTTTCCTTTTCAAAATTGCCTCTTAAAGTTTTTTAAGGTTATTGAGTTAAGAGAAATGAGGACCTTTAGTTGGGGTTCCTGTTAGTTAAATGCTGATGCTGACAGTGCAATGACTGTTTATGCATAACTTGTCTTCAGAGGTTCCAGGTCATTCTCACTGAATTTATCCCTAATTCTCTCTTCTAGTCTCCTTGTTGCTTGTTTGCTCATCAACCCTTTTCCATTAAGGAGATCTCATGTATGGCCAAGATTTTTTAATTTTTAATTTTTATTTTGTAAAATAGAAGGCTTCGGGAGAAGCTGTTACTTGTCTTTTTTCTTTAGGCACATTACTTGGTATGATAGCTTATAGAGCAATAATATCAATAGTTTAGATGTTAAATCAAACATGAAAAGCGGGACTAGAAAGTAAACAAGTAATAGTGACCCGACCCCATGTTCATAGGGGTTAAGTAGCTTTTTGTTGATCTATTTCCATATGAAATTCTTTACAGACTTATCCTTTTCTCTTTAGAAAAATTTTAGCCACTTTATGATCAAACAGCATCGGCAGGACAAAGCCATGACAAATTTCGTCTTTATAGAAGATAGCACTATGGCTGTTGTATGTTTATCCCCTAGCACTACTTTACAAAACGATTTTCTTTTATTTTACTTTCGTGTCTAGTTCTTACAAAAGCAATCAAATCAGGGACAATTTATATGCGAGTGTACATTTGGAAACTGTTTTCAGACTCTTTGTCACTTGGCTTGTTTGTTGATACTACTGCAGAAAAGTGTAGCTACCAGTCATTTTCGGCATCGAAGGAGACAGTCTGTTGATCTAGATGATGCCATAAACGAAGAGGAAGTTGTTGGAACTGCTCAAACGGGAGACCTCGACATTCAATCAAGATCAAGTTCTGCATCCTCCACCTCACAGCATGTGCAAATCTCTTATCAAACTGAACAATCTTTGAAAGAGGAATGGGCCGCCACAGTTATTCAAACTGCTTTTCGAGCTTTCCTGGTATATATACTGTCTCTTTCACTGACTGCCAGTCCAACGTTATTATTTAAGCTATTAATACTCCATTCAATTTTCTGTACCGCAAGATTCTTTGAGAATAGTTGATCTGAGAGAATTTGAGGTTGCACTTGATGTTCTACGCTGAATATGTTTAATATGTTTTAAGTTTTAGTATGACTTCCTTGCTCTGTTTTACCTTTCTAATCAGTAACTGAAGTTATATGAAAGAGGATTGAAGTTTACCAATCTTCCTCCCTTCAGCAAACAAGCCAAGGATCCTTTTACACTTGTAATATGTTGCTGTTATCCTATAATAACTCTATTGAATGCTTGGCTCTTTGGGTTTAAACAATTCGTGCACTTGAATGTCCTCATCCATCATTATGATGTGCCTGTTGACTGCTGAAAAGTTCCTCATTTATCTCCCATTGCCATTATCTTGCCTCCTTCAGATTCACATGCGTCACATCTTCTGTTGATCTCATCTTTATTGTCAAAGCTTGGTGTTTACTATCCCGAATCAGTTCTTAAAAATAGATTTAAAAAGAATATTGCATATGTTTTTGTATAAAGTTAAAACATCTATCTTGTCTTTCCAGGCCAGACAAGCGCTGCGAGCTCTAAAGGGATTGGTTCGACTTCAGGCCCTTGTTCGAGGTCATGCTGTGAGAAAACAAGCTGCAATAACTCTCCACTGTATGCAAGCGTTGGTAAGAGTTCAGGCTCGTGTGAGAGCAAGACGAGTCCGGATGACATTGGAAAATCAAATAGGACAGCAGCACCTTGTACTGGGAGCTCGTGTCCGAGAAATAGAGGTGAGCTATAATTACTAGATGATGCAAACTTAGTGACCAAAATTTATTTTGAAGTTCTTATTTGAATTATATTCACAGGGGAAGTAAAATCTGCTTTGCAAGTAGGTACTCGATCTCTTTTTTTAATTAGTTTTATGAAGTTAATTTTCATTTTATTTCAGGGAAGGGACTTATGTTTCCTCTCAAGAAGTGATCATTCAACTTAATTAACTTCTCAAACAAGATCCCTGAAGGAACTTTCAGGGCATGTTTGATATAAGAACAAATGTGATTAGGGCTTATGCTTTTGTACTAATTTTTCTTCTGTTCTGGCTACTAACTCAGAACTGATTTTTTATGCATCACTGTCCACATCCATTCTCCTGTAATATTGCACTCATCATTGGTTGTTTCTAGTCCTAAATATGACATAGTTTTAATTAGCAAATATGGATTAAAACATTACAGTAACCTGTTTTCCCAAAGATTAAGATGTTATTGTTGCCAATTTTGACATCCCTCCTTTCAATTTCAAGGAAGAGAGAATTCGAGGTTTCCATACAAGGCATGCAAATAAACAGTATGCATTGCGAAAAGAATTTGCTTGTTTATAGTACATTCCTTCTGGGTGATTTCTGGTGTTCCCAGTATCATGCTAGTAACTACTTCAAAAAAAAAAAAAAAAAAAAACCTCTGGCTGTTATGTAGCATGCCAACAATATTTTTTTGTTATGGCAGTACTTACGAACGTATATTATTCTGCTATATTTTTCATCTGTGCGCCATATTTGCCTGCATCTATTAAAAGCTAATGCTTATTCAGTGTACTTATTTGCTTGTATATCAGTGATTAAAAGTATGACTAATTGGCATAGACCCCCTGTACTATCGCCCATTTGCAGATAGACCCCTATAGATCTACTATTACTGAAATTGTTTCTCCTTTACCCTCAGAGTAAGAGAATCTTGTTTTTATAAAAAATAGACCTCCTGAGGGTAAAATAGTAAAAAACATTTCACTCGGAGGGTCTATCTGCAACAATAGAACTACAGGGGGTCTATCCAGATGAGTTGATAACATTGATAACTGTAAGTTTTCATGTGTTTGTTTAAATGTAGGAAGGCTGGTGTGACGGTGTTGGATCTGTAGAAGATGTTCAAGCAAAGCTGTTAAAGAGGCAAGAAGCTGCAGTCAAGAGGGAGAGAGCTATGGCATATGCCCTAACCCACCAGGTAGTACTATAAAGTAGCCTGTCTCCGGTGTTATCATTATCTAAGATTATTAAATATTTTCAAACTACAACATACTTGGGAAATAGTTGAAGCTTTTACCACGGAAGCAAAGCATGGTGACTTTCTTTTATTTTGAAAGTATTCTGGTGCACACGATGCATGCATGATATAGTACACTTGCACATAATAAAAAACCCTAATTCCTTATACAACTTGTGAGATCTCCAATATCAATGGACAGAGATAAATTATTTATATAATTTAAATGAAGGGAATTAAAGAACTCATAAATTCGAAAAATTCCCGTTTGCTTCTCTTCTTCTCTTCCTTACACTCAAGATTTTTGTGGTGTTGAACAGTTTAAGGGAGTTTTGTATTTTACTGCATTTGGTTTTTGAAGTTGGAGGATAAGTGGGTTAGTTACGAGAGTGGGAGAATTTTTATTAGGCTTTTTTTCCTTCTAAGTTTGCCCTAGAACTAACTTTCAAGTTGTATATAAATTTTGAGGGTATTATTGGGTTTTTGAAAATGAAGCTCACAGCCCCAAACACCTGGCTTCTCTTAAATATAGTAATAGATGTAGTCAGTACCTAGACAGTGTCTGGTCTTGCCCTTCTGTTGGAACTAATATATGATGTCTGTATCTGAGCTTACAC